GTTCCGGATATCACAAACTTAATCACTAAGCAAAAAATGACAGCTTGCATATTCTCATACAAGGACAACAGTACACGTGTTACAATAGTTCTTAGCAATTATGCATTGACCAAAATGCCCTTACAGTGACATTGCCAATATATATAACCTTCTACAGCTAAAACCGTGATCACTTAATTAACCTATGAATTGAATCAATTCATCACAATGTACCATCATACACAAATGTATTATGATATAGTACATGTGTGAAAAGACCTAATTGCCCCTGAAAAGCTCTGTATCAAAATACCATTGTCTGTATCTTCCTGAGATGCCTGCAGTAAGAGTCTTCAAGACAATGTATCTTCCTTAGGTCATTTGGATAGTCTTCTCAACACTATAAAATGACCAAGCTACCCCTGTGGATCAATTGAATGCACTGTTCAAGCTAGAAACACTTGGAACTCAATGTAGAGAACCTGTGATAGACTTTTTGACATTTTAAAAGGGCAAACCCTAATTCAAATATGGGACCAACAATCTCCCCCTTTTGCCTTTGAATGTCAAAAACAAAATATCCTTGAATATTCACAAAGCACTTAAATAATCAACAATGCATCAATAGAACAGTAATGAAAGCATTTTCAAAGGATATATATATCATTGATTAAGGTCATTTTCTCCCTTTTTGACATTAAAAGTCAAAAGGTGAAAGGATCAACAATATTAAGGGCTAGAAGAGATTAAGAACAGCCCTGAGAAGATATCGGAGAGTTAAAAACCTATGTGGTAACAATGGCATGGTTAAGATATCTGCAAGTTGGTCTTTTATTGGCAGATATGTAATGTTGATCAGCCATTTTTAAACCCTATCTATGAGAAAATGGTATTTGATATCAATGTACTTGTTCCTCCAATGCAAAATATGATTCTTGTTAATGGCTATAGCACTTTGATTATCACAGTAGAGCTTTGGAGGACTTGAGAATGGAATACCAATGTTTAAAAGAGTTGTCTTCATGGAGAGTAACTGTGAACCAGCTTGTGAAGTAGTTATGTACTCACCTTCTGCAGTGGAAAGTGACACTGTGTCTTGCTTCTTGCTTAGTCAAGAGACTATGTTTGAGCCAAGAAGGTAACAATAACCTGAAGCACTCTTCATATTAGGTGAACCACCCCAATCTGCATCAGAATAAGCTGTAATAGAAAAGGAAGGTGAATAAAGATAGTAAAGACCATAAAAGAGAGTTCCTTTGACACATCTGAGGATTCTTTTAGCAGCTTGTAGGTGAAAAACCCTTGATTGCTTTGAAATCTTGTCACTAAACCCACTGAATACATAATGTCAGGTCTTGAAGCTGTGAGATATAATAAACTACCAATGATGGACCTGTAAAGAGTGGAAGGAACATTTTCTATGGTACACAAGTGTAAACTTTGTGTTAGGGCACAGAGGTATGGAGACAACCTTGCTTTCAGCCATATTGAACTTTTTGAGCAATTCAGTGGCAAATTTCTCTTGAGAAATGAAAATGTCACTGGAAGATTGTTGAATTTGAAGGCCTAAAAAGTACCTTAAAGTGCCAAGTATGGACATTTCAAACCTTGTCTTCATAAGGTTTACAAATTCAGAGGTTAAAGAGGAGTTTAAGCCACAGAACATGATATTATCAACATAAATTTGCAGAATTAGGAATTGATCTTGATGTGTTATGACATATAAGGTATTATCAACCTTGCCTCTGAAAACCTTTTTCCACCAAGAAGCTATGCAGTTTCTCATACCAAGTTCTACGGGCTTGTTTAAGACCATATAAGAACAGGCTGGCAAACATTGAACAATTGTGGAAGTTTCAGATTGGATGATTTAGAACCCATTTACCAATCCCTTTTTATTCACTTGCATTTTCATTCCTATCATGGCGTTTGTTGCACCGCCAAGGTTACCAATCCTCTCCTCAGTCGACACACCTAATCGCCCCTTTCCTATCATACATTATACAGACGAATACATATATCGGTAAGAGAATTTTAAAAAACTGGTAACAGATTACAAAATAGTATATATCATTCCAAAGACATGCAATTTATTTTGAATGTTTGATATATAATACATATATTTCATATAATATATTTTGAATGTTTGATATATATATATATATATAATAGACATATACATTTTTATATGTAAGAATTTATTGATAGCAGTAGATTTGTTGTGGAGGGGAATTAGGCAATGGCAGGCGGGTTGCCGATGTGAGAGTTGTGGTGGTGGAAGAAAGGTTGCAGTGGGGTTTTTTTTTTTTAAAAAAAAAAAAAAAGACCCAGTTTCATGGTGGTGGGAGGTTAGTTGTCAGATCCAGTCTCATAAGGGTTTGATGGTAGACTTGTAATTTTTAGGACAATTGTATGTCTATTATTGTATTTTAAACAAAGCTAAGGTAGTTGAATCAATATATAAATACTATTTGACTGGAGAGAGGTTGTTGAACAAACAATCCTAAACTTATGGAAGGTCGAAATAATAAAAGTCAAACGGTCAATTTAAGTGTAATATGATCAAATCTCAGGAGAGATTAGTGTAATTTACCCAAAATTGTTTGTAGATTGGTTATTCAATCAAGTTGCGATAAAGGATTTTGGAGAATGAAGTTATATTCTTGGATTAAACTTTTGAGCTTAAGGACGGTTACACCGGATCACTGGGTTTGGTTAGCATACCAACGATAACCTCTAATCAAAAGTAACTTAAGTTATTAGGTGGTTAACCCTCAACCCACACCACACTCATATACAGTACTGAGATTCTCAAATGTTTTAGAGGTTCTAGGCGTACTTTAAAATTAAGCACCAATCCGGCTCTTTAGAACCTTATTTGAAAAATAAAAGGTTGCATTTTAATAATATATTAATATTAAATAATATTTATTTAAAAATCATCCTTGTGAAATTCAAAATTATTAATTAAATTATTCTATTTAAGTTTTGTTAAAATATACAAATATATAATATATATATATATATATAAATTTATAATAACAAAAATTAATAAAACTAAAAAATAATTAAAGAAAAAGAACAATACCTACAAATTATTCAATAGAATAAATATGAGTCCAAATCGAGAGTAATGTGTTTTTAGTGGAGGGAGACGAGTTGTTGAAAGAGGACCACTTTCCTAAACAACAGTTAAATATATATTTAATATTTATAGTGGATATAACTTACTAAAAAAGAAAATTTTAAAATGCTAGAGAGAGAGAGAAAAAAAAATTTATTTAAGAATATAAATTTTTAGGGCCAATATTAAAATTTTGTACGAGGAGGAGAGAGAGGAAGAGATAGATAGGAAAAAAAAAAAAAAAAAAAAAAGTGTCATTTATGGATATAAATATTTAGGGGCCATATTTATGTATTGACTAGGGTTTAATTAAAAAAACGTGAATGAAGAGGATAGAGAAGAGAGAGAAAAATAAAAATGTTATTTTAGAATATAAATTTTTGACGTCCACTTTTATATTTTGTAGTCACGGTATTAGTCGCGTTGGATTGATTAGGGTTTGATAAAGATGATTTATTAGTGAATGTTGATGAATTTTATTAAAAAAATTTTATATCATGTAACAAAATCAATTATTTATTAATGAATGTTAAATTGCTACCATTATTAAAAATGCTTTGTATTCTACTTATGAAAATAATGAATTAAAATAAACTTGATTATGATGATTTAGCAAATATAATGAATTGTTTATAAATTTATGTTATTATCGTTATTAAAAATGATTAGTAATAATTCCATTTAAGAATTTAGTGATTAAAAATAAATTATGAAAGAAATTAAAAACTAATCATAATATGCATACATATGAGAATTAAAAATATTATTTTATATACATACAAAAATAAAATAGGCATATAATAAAAAAAATTTATAATAAATTATTATTATATTTTGTTTATAATAATTGCAAGTTAAATGGTCATTATTGAATAAATATGAAAATTCTCCAAATTGGAGAACTATGTATCCATGTGTGAATTATGATGGATTGAGGGTGAAGCAATATTGTAATTATGAAAGGATGGTTGTGATAATTTTGTACAAAGGATTTTTTTTTTTTTTTTTAATTTAAAAAAAATGCATTCCAGAGAGTTGTATCACATGCCCTGGGCCCTCTGCTTGAAATTCGTTCAACAGAAGGCAACCAAAAAATAATAATAATGGAGACTGAATGCAATTCATCGAGACGGTAGCCCCGACGACACGGACGAGCGCATGAAGAAGACAACCTCATGAAAAAGGCCTCCTTTTTGCATCTGAAAATTAAATCCCGGAGAATTGTGGTTTTTTTCCTTCTTGTTTTTCATTTTTTTTTCCCTTTCTTCTTCTTCTTCTTCTTCTTTACTATTCTAGATTTCAGATTCTAGATCTGAGGATTTCTTTGCTTTTCTGTAAATGGTTAAAAAAGGGAGTGTTGTTTCATGCTTGGACCGGTTCGTCGGAAAATCGGCCGATTCGTTCTGAAGCTGTTGGTTTTTATGCGAATCCGTAAAATTGGCATGTAACGTCGGTGGCCGCCAATCCGTGACGAATTGGGAACCATGGTTTTAGGTAACGGGTTAACGCATTTAAAATGGGTATAATTAAAGAGCAAAAAAAATTTTAAACTTTATTTAAATTTTCGAATAATTTCATTGAAGTATTTAAATAAAACCTCCTAAACTATCACATTGCATAATACTTAAAATTATATTTTATTAAATGATCAGATTTATTAGAATTTAGGAATATTAAGAATTTTGTTAACACTCCCTTAAATTTAGCCAAATATTACATTAAAATACCTTTTAAAAATTACTATCACAAGTTTGTTTCGTCTTTCACTCACACCCCAATTGTTACACACCCCAATTGTTACATGTACTTAGTGTTAGAGATATAAAATGACTTCAACTTTGTCAAAAGAACTTTTAATTAAAAAAATTAAATAAAAAAACTAAAATATCCCTAAATATTTTGAAAATTTATAAATTAAATTATATATCTTTATTGCTTCTTTTACATATGGGTAGTGATACTCAGATCGACTGTTTTGGCCTATTTCTTAGGCAAAATCCAATGTGGCACTGGCAATGAACCTAAAAAATAGAACAAGTGGGTTTATTCCGCAGTCGTCGACACTGTCAGCGCCGGAGCCAACTTATGTCCTCAGTCATCTTCATCCTCGCCGGACAACCACACCAACCAATCAACTCACGACGGAAATCCATCCTTGCTTGCCGCTACTGTTCAGTTCCTCATTGCATTCTTCAACGCCGACGACAATTCACGTTGGTGATCCCACTACACCGAAACCATCAGTTCGTTGACCCATCCACGCAAAGACCAATTTGGAACTGTAACCCAATGTTCTTCGGAGGCGACCTCCAAACCCGGTCCATCGTCATTGCTGACTTCTCCATTATCGGCAGCATCATATTCACCGGCTTTCTGCCTAAGCCATCTTCTTCACTTAGAAGAAATTGCTCATTATTTTTTGACTTTTTTTAATACCCATGTCCTGTAGTTATTATGTGTGTGATGTACATGATGGGTGTTTGTGCAAATATGTATATAATGTATATGATGGAAGAGAGAAGTTCATCAACATCGGCACGGACACCACCATCCATCGATTAGAGTTCCGCTGCCGACACTACCATCAATTGATCTTGACACCCGAGCTCAAATCTGGAAGATGAATGGATTGCACGCACGCATACACACGCTTTCATTTTTGCCAGTTAGACACCACCTAAGTTTCTGCCTAACAAATCTGCCAAATCCATCAGCGTAAATATCATTTTTCTTTATATATATATATATATACACTCTCCTCCCTCCCACCACCAGTGCCAAATGCAAATCAAGCCTAAAATCACAGCAAATCAAGCCATCTGAGGTAAGCAAAGCAACATAAGAGGCACACCAATTTTTGCACATTCAGAGTAGATCAAAGTTTAAATTGAAATTTGTTTTATTTTTAGCAAGCAAATCATTGACTAAACAATTTATGGGTGAAGTGCAAGAAACACCCTTAATGTATACTTTTGGTAGCATTTTTGCCCCCTATTTGAAAAACTGTGCAACCCCCTTATTATTTTAACATTGTGCGAAAATACCCCTTCAAATAGAAATCTGACCTAAAATAATGTTGTAATGCCCATTTTTCCCTTTTACTATTCCGAAAATGCCCAAGGAAGTTTTGTGTATATATTTTTTTTTTCCTTGATGGGTTGGCCCGTTTCAATCTAGGTCAAACCCAGATCAAAGTGGGCTCACCCACACCTGATCCCAGCAACCTGGGACCACGTGTTCTCTCCACAGCGTTGCATTCCTTCTCGCAACCACCTCCACGCCGAGAAAATCTCCGGATGCAGCATTAACATCTCAATCCTTCTAACCCAATCGTCTCCGCCGCCGCCGCCATTAAGAGACTCCAACACCGTTGAGTAGATCTAAAGCCTATTGATGACTCACTCGAGGAACGATAACATCCCACCATCTATTAATCCTTCGTTGACCTCGTACACCATGTGTGGTGAAATCCGCTGGAGAACAATCAAAATTCTGGCGCCGACAAGTCAGAGGACTATCGGAGATAAAATAAAGACTATTTTCTCACCACCCATGAGTCTGATTGCTTTGAACGATAAGAATTCAAAGGTACGAATCGAAACGAACTTGATATTGAACCCATTTCTCAGCTCACGAGCGAACTGACCCAGATTGTCTCTTAACCAATCCCGATTCGATTGGCACTGTGAGCACCTCGCTACAATGGCTTCAATCTAACATTTTTTCCATATCGTCGCCGATCAAGTCCAATACATTGCCCGTAGGGAACAAAATCTTCCACAAAGATCCATTCTTCACTCCATTTTTAGCCCCTGCCATTGTCAACGTATACCAAACTCTTCAAACACCAGGCTGTGATAAGACAATCAAGCGTTCTTCGCCCCATTCAGCGTGTCCATATTCAGATCGCTGCTCTCTTCAGCACTGTTGTCTCATTCTTCGCTGTCTCATCACTGTTGCCGGAGTATTCTCTGGCTGTTGTATTTGTCATCATTGGAGCTTCCTTCAGTCACCGTCGGTTAGAGAGAGGGGGGAGAGAAAGGGAGACCCCAGTTAAAAACAAAAACAAAACAAAACAAAAACAAAAGCAAAGCACATGTCAATGGCTGCTGTCACGTCGGCTAATTAAGGTGAGTACAAGTGGTCGGGATAGAGGTGGTAATAATTTAATAAAGCTTGAGAGAGAGAGAGAGAATGAAACCCCAATACTTCCAGACCTGAAGTAACTAGAACAAAAAAATCCTCTTCCCCTCATCCTAAAGTAAATTTTGTACACCCGAGCACTTTGCATGATAAGAGTAAAAGCTACCACTCGCACCCAATACTGTTGCCTGGTTGAACCTTGCACAGTTGCTCCATCATATTGTGAGACACACCCATACACCATGCCTCTCACTCCAGCCTGTTACAGCTGGGAACAATACTACTATGAAATGCCAATATTTCAACCAGCAGTTCAGTTCAGACTGGCAAAAAATGTTGGTGATTATTTCAGTGATGAGAACACATCTGGTGATTATTTCAGTCCGTATTTCAAACGGGAATCAGTGAGTTTGTTAACACAATACTTAATGAGTTCTGTTCCTCCTTTGTTCAAAGAATCATAAGATACCTTATTCTAAATATTAGTTCTTTGCTACCATTATGTTCATTATTTCCTTTCGTATTTTTGTCTCACCTATTGGGGTTTCTTCCCTAATCTTGACAGTAGTGATCAACTTTCTAAAATAAAGGCAATGGAGGCTAAATGGAGGCCATAACAAAAGAACTAAAGGCAATCTGATGTGGAATTCATATCAGTAAAGGAATTGTCCAAGATAGTTGGAGTCATTTTGAGGAAACTAAATTCCATTTTTTGAGAGGGGAACGAAGATGAATTTTGTCGCAGAGATGGGAGAAGGCGTCCTTGCACACACAAAGAGGACCTTCACCCTTGTAAATCCTACTCTTGTGAGAAGTTAATAACTGATTTTTAATTTTTTATCTTCTTTAATTTAATAAACATGGTAAACACACATTAGAAGACTATAAATAAAGATCAATCATACAACGAACACCAAAAGTACGTGGAACAAACAGGTCAAATCCATTGTAAAGGAAGGTACTACGATCCTAGGTATCATATTCTAAAACCCATAAAACCACCTAATTACCTTATATCAAGACTCATCCTTTCTTTTAACAGGATGCCTTACTCTGGTGGGCAATAATTTTTATGAGCTAGTTAAAATAATTGCTAAGAGTACTTAACTTCTTGAATTGGTGTTTATCCAACAATTTAAGCCACAAATTGATATTTCAATTCAAACATTCCATCTTTGTGTAACCTCCATCTTGGGTGCTTTGTTATCGTATAATATGAAAATTCAATCTAAAAAGGGCCAGAAGTATCCAAACGGAGACTGGAGGATGAATGTGATGCCTTCCACAAGGAATATTTAAGCACTAATAAGCAACAAATATTAGAAGGAAAAAGATTTCCAGAGTCTGAATGGCAAAAAAGAAATGAAAGGAGGAGAGACTAAGAGAGTGGTGTAGTTTCTCTACCTCAAGGTTTTACTGAAAAAATAAAGTGATTCAAAATGCAAGACTAGCCAAGAATTTGACAAACACAAGCTCTGCATACTCCTCAACATCAACCAACTAAAGCACTATCTTTATGTAATGAGTTAATATTTCCTCGCGATAAAATCCTTCTGTCTAAAATGTTAAACCCAATATATATGGCTCAATCATGTTGAATTGGATTCTGAGCCATATTAATCATCACAGTACAGAGCCAACGGATTGGAAAATTGCCTAAATCCATCCAGAGCATTATAATCCACAAAAGTTCACAAACTCCATCAGTGTATATTTACAAGGTGCCTCTCCACTGCATTTTCATGTTGTGTATTTGTTACTCCTCTAAGATCCTAATTTTAACCACTCATCTTATAATGCCCGAAAGTAGCCTCCAATCAGGTCCCATCAACATTAATAGAAGTCTCTATACTAAAGGAAATTGTTAGGTTCTCGAACCGTTACCCAAGCCTCTAATTATGTCAAAGTGAGTTCTGAATTATACCTAAAAAGGGATGAATAAACTTTCATGGAAATTAATTTTAAAGTTTATCCATCTTCGGGAGTTATGTTGATTGTGATTTTAATTTTAGCTTATATAGGATAGTTCTTGAATCCAACCATCACATACATAATCAAGCATCCATAAAAAGTAAAGGAAGAGTAGAGGAAAAAAAAAAAAAATTACGTGGAAAACACTAAACAGGAAAACCAGGGATTACACCAACCAAGTTACCTCTTGAGACAGACTGACAAACTTTCCACTCAAGTCTCTAGGCCGTCTGTCTGCTCTGTTAACAGAATTTGCTCCTCAAGAATCTGCTTCTCCAATGTTTTGTCCTTCCTTTTGCTTGAAATTCTGATTGATTTAATGGGAACACCTCCATAAGTTGATGAATTCTTCCTTGATTAATATGATGGTGTCTAAGGAAATCCTTGATTGCGTAATGGGGATTTTCTCACACAAGGATTTTTTTCTCACTAGATGATTAGAGAGAGAAACTCATGTTGTATACTCACTACAACTCCATATTTAAAGGCTAATTTATACGTTTCGTTAAGTTGAATCCTTATAGAAATTTGTTTTGAGAGAGTTCCCAAAAATAAACCTTACGTTTATTTGATTGATCAGGGCATTGATTAACACCTACCGTCAAGCGACTTGCTCGATCAACCAATCAGTCGAAGCATACTGAATCCCAATAAAACAATTTCTGGAAAAATTCAATCGATCCACCTATCGATTGATTGATCAATCGAACTGCTTCACACATACCATTTCCCAACAAAAACTTACTTTTTAAAACCTACTCAAAATTCATTATCTTGATAAACAAATAAAAATAAAAATTGTTAAAAACAAGTTTGAAAGTAGGTTACGTAAAGTCTTTTTAGGTTAAATTACATGTACTGTAGATATTTGATTAAGGATGCAGATTTCTCGTCATGTTCTTCGCAAATCTTGTCGGCATAGCCTTTGAAGATTATACTCTTAATTACTTGTGACACTTTGACATATTTCCACCAAAGTTTTGAGTGTGAAGTTGCCAACACATGACTCGATGACTTGTATGCCTAACAATCCTCCCTTTTGACAATTCCGAAACAAAACCCAAATAGTACATATATAAGAATGACTGACTCAACCTAAAAGCCTAATCACCCTTACATGTACATATATAAGAATAACTGACTCAACCTAGAATCCTAATCACCCTTACATGTACACACAGAAATTTTAAAAATATCAGTTTGATCTAATCAACTTCTAAATGCTCTTTCTATTGTCTGCAAAACACAAACAGAACAAACATACCAAAGCAAAGTACTATCCAATAAAGCAATATGGTATAGAACACGTGCAAAACTCAGCTTTATAATATCAAATGGCTCAAAACACCTCTCTCCCCCTTATAACTCGTATATCCACTATTTCTCTCCCTTTTGTTACGGAATTGACAAAAATACGTAGGAAAAACACTTAGGAGAGAGACATAAAACAGAAAGCAAAATATATAAACTAAATACTTTAGCAATTTTGAAATTTTTTATAAAAGAAAAAATATAAGAAGGTTTAGTTTCTCTTTCTTACTATGATAGCATAATGACATTTCGACAATAAAACGACTCTAACAATAGTATGAATCAAAGCATTTATTATTATCAAAAAAGAAAGTTCCAATAAGTTGAAGTCACTTTTCAACCATTAGAAAGATCTTCAACTTTATCCTGAACTAACTTATCAACTATATTGATTTAAGTCTCAACAATGTATATGTCACTCAATGATTAGATTCATAAAGATTCCATGCGTTAACGCGAAAAATTATCATATATGACAACCATCATTTACTCTAAAAAGTTTAAGTTGTCAGAAAGGATGTAACTTCAATATTTATATAATAACGGCCATTTACTCTAAAAGCTTAAGCTGTTAGAGAGGGTGTAACTTTAATATTTATATACTCTAACACGGCCGTCATGTGTGGCTTTCTTTTTGGTCCAAGACATGTTTTCAATTTTAATTATCAGGATGAAAGTGCGGTCTGAACTCAAAACCTTAAGCTTTGATACCATGCTAACCATCATCGACTCTAAAAACTTAAGCTCTAAAGATGGTGTAATTTTAATATTTAAATACTAACAATATGCAACCACACCAATAGTCTTCCTAAGGTATTCAAACCTAATTGAGTCTAATGATTTCATCAAGATAACTGCCAAATGATTTTTAGCTTAAATTTTTTCTAAGCTTATTAAGTTTTGTTCCACAAGTTCACAAATAAAGTGGTGTCCTATGTCTATATGTTTAGTTTTAGAGTATAATACAGGATTCTAAGAAATATTTATAGCACTTGTGTTATCACAGAATATACACATGGTGCCTTGTTTTATTCCATGATTTGCTAGCATTTGCTTCATTCATAGGTGTTGTATAAAACAACTTTCAGTTGCAATGTATTCTACCTCTACAGTGAAAAGAAAATTGAATTTTTTCTCTTGCTAGATCAAGCAACTAAGTTTGTGCCTAGACAGATACATTCACCATAGGTGATTTTTCTACCATCTATTGCCTAATCAACATCAATATACCCCGCTAGTTCACAATTTGAATTAGATGAATATCGCAAGCCATATTCTAGAGTGTTGGAAATTGTGTCTCAAATTCCTATTCTAATTAGGATTCCATTTTTGAGTTGTATTATGCTGGGTGATTTTATTTTTTGGAAAGTTTGGCCTCTTAAGGAATTGTATTGTCCAACAAGGAATTGCATTTGTAACTCTATAAATAGGTACATATATTGTGGGTTGAGACTTATGAGAATGAGAGAGATGTAGTCTCATGAAGAAGTTGATTGGTAGAGGTAGTATGCAGGTTGGTAGAATAAGAAAAACACCGGTGACACTGGTAGCGAGGAGATAGGATCGTGGAGTGGTACATGGTGAAAAGACATTTACGTGGTGTTGGTACTCTATTATTGTAATATCTCTACGAATCATAGTGGAATATCTTCTCATCCATAGACGTAGGCCGGTTTTGGCTGAACCATGTATATCTTGTGCTTCTGTGTGATTGCTTTGTTGGCTTTCAATGGATTTAAGTATTCGCGCGGTTTCGCTGCCCCAACAAATTGGTATCAGAGCCAAAGGTGAAGGAGATCTAAAAAACACAAGAAATCTCAACATGTACTGCAACGAGCTTCGGTTGTAGGTGGAGTCAATCGGCTTGGTTACATGGCATGGAGCTCGGGTAGTCAAAGTGGAGCTTCGAAGGTTTGACTGATCAAGCAACGTATAATGTGGATAATCGGAGTTTTGTAGAAGTATCATCAAGATTGAAGCTCTTAAAGAATTGTCTTCTTCAATGCCGTGGAAGCGGTGATTAGCTAGATGGAATTTGAGCCAAGGTGAAGATTGCGGGAATTGTGTCTCAAATTCCTATTCTAATTAGGATTCTATTTTAGAGTTGTATTATGTTAGGTAATTTCTTGTTTAGCAAGTTTGGCCTCTAAGGAATTGTCTTGTCCAACAAGGAATTGTGTTTATAACTCTACAAATAGGTACATATGTTGTGGGTTGAGACTTATGAGATTGAGAGAGATGTAGTGTCATGAGGGAGTTGATGGGTAGAGGTAGTATGCAGGTTGGTAAAGTAGGAAAAACACCGGTGACACTGGTAGCGAGAAGATAGGCTCGTCGAGTGGTACATGTTGAAAAGACATGTACGTGGTGTTGGTACTCTATTATTGTAATATCTCTACGAATCATAATGGAATCTCTTCTTATCTATGGAGGTAGGCCGATTTTGGCTAAACCATGTATATCTTGTGTTTATGTGTGATTGCTTTGTTGGCTTTCATTGGATTTAAGTATCTGCGCAATTCTATTGCCCAACATAGAGTCCCGTTAACATATCTTATTATTCTCTTAACAACCCTTAGATGCAACTCTTTAGGATTAGCTTGATACCTAGCACATATATCAATACTGAAAGCTATGTCTGGCCTAGTAACATTTAAGTAAAGCAAACTTTTTATACTTTTGCCACGAGAATCTTTACTTAACTTAGCATCCACACTCATTAGAATACTAACAAGTCTGGCTAATTGTAAGCTAAACTTCTTAACTAATTCTCTAACATACTTAGATTGTGAGATGAAGATCCCATTATCAAGTTGGTTAACTTGTAATCCTAATAACAAAGTTAACTCACCCACTATGGTCATTTCAAAAGTTTTTCTCATTTGTTCCGCAAATTCATGAATAAAATCATTATTAAAATTTTTTATGAATCAAATTTTATCACACCTCATTAAATTCTAACAAATAAATAGTGAGTTTTTTTATACCAAGTTTTAGGAGCTTATTTAAATCCGTATAGCGCCCCTTTGAGCCTATACGCATACTCGGGGTGTTTAAGATTTACAAATCCCTTAGGTTGTTCCTCGTAAACCTCTTCATATCATTCAAAAATGCACTTTTCACATCTATTTGGTATAACTCGCCCAATTTCACCATGTAAAAGAGGTTCTATTATCCCTGTTTTTCTACCGAGTGTGTGCACAACAAAACACACACCTCCTCTTTTAAATTCTAAACAATAATTGATGTGGAGGCCCATGAGATTGGAGATATCACTTTTATTGTAGAGATTGAGAATTACTAATTCCAAGACATGTGCATATACACTTTATGGCCATGTAATGAAAATAAGCCTTTGAGCAATATTAGTGTGATATACTCATATACGCTTTCTCTTTCTAGAATTAGGGTTTTGTGATCTCATCTCTAAGAAGCTCCCCCACAAGCATTGAGCCTCCAAGTTCATCAATGGAGGCATATGGTTGATTCCTAAAGGCAAGATATCAAAGTGAAGGTGGTGCTCTAAGGAAGAAGAAGGAGGCTAAAGGGATCTTCATAAGGGTGAACATCCCTTGGTGGAGTGATATGAGACTTTCTCAAGTCTTGATGTCAGTATTCTATCTCCTATATGTGAATTCTCTTTTTCTAGCATGAAAATGACCTCTACACATGAATCAAGGTTTTGGAAAGAAAAAGCCCTCTTTAGATTTTTGAAAATCTCCATTTCCTTAACAATAGCACCATTTTAAGCCTATATGCATAGATGTTCACAATCTACAAATCGGTTGTTCCACATAAACCTCTTTATGTAGTATACCATTCAAAAATCCACTTTCTACATCCTTTTAGTATAACCTGGCCAATTTTCCTTGCAAAGAATGTTTTGTTATTCCTGTTTTTCTAGGGGATGTGTGCATACAAAAACACAGAACAGAAACAACACATAAAAGAAACAAAAATATTATATATATATATATATATATATATATGAAGGAACAATTACTCAAGATGACGTTGGTAAACTGGAAGGAAGTGGTTAGACAGAAGAGAAGACATTTCTTTTCTCTATTGAGGAATAGAAAATAAATTTGATCAAACAATTTCCAATCTACGGATTCAGAGAGGTTTTTCTAATAGGCATCAGGCACAGTGCCCTGTTTCTAGTGGACAAGCATGCATTACATTACCTAGTGAGAACTAATTTTTTTCCTACTGAATCCATTAGTGAAAGTGCCCTGCCAAAGAAACCCCCTAACTTGAAAAGGTCAAAAGTTAGAAAGCCGAGGATGGACGGGTTTTATAATCATTTAACTAAAAGGCAGACTGTTCCACATTAGAAATTGAGCATCTCCGTGAGAAGCTAAGATAATTGTACCAAAAAGAGATATCACATAAATCCTAAAACAACCTCATTTCCCAACAGAGATACAGATAAGAGTAATAAATATATAGTCATACCCTCAGAATCTGGAGCTTGGTTGAGAAGGCAATAGCAACCCAATCAGGCTGGGACGAGGACCACTGCAACTGCTCAATTTCGGCTCCAGCAGTGTATGCCAGAATCGGATCCAATCCACCCTCGATGGGTTGCCCCATGGAAGACAAGTCCCAAATCAGCGCCTGCGAATCGTCGCCGGCAGTGCATATGTGGCAAGAGCTGTGGGGCGCCCAGGCGATGGCATTGACGCTGGCCTGATGCCTCTGCAGTTCCACCACCGGGAGCGTCGGGAAGCGGATGTCGAGCACGACCACCTTGGCGCTGTCCATGATGATGGTGGCCATGTACCTAGGGTCCTGCTTGTTCCAGCCCAGGCGGACTAGCGGAGTATCGGGCTCGGAGCTCTCGTAGATGATGGTGGAGTGCTCCTTGTCTCGCAGATCGAAGACGCGGACGGAGCCGTCAGCGGAGACGGAGGCGAAGACGCCAACGCCGCCCCAGGCGATGTCGTAGACCTCCTTGTCGTGGGCGATGAGCTGGGTGTCTACGGCCTCTCTCTCGATGTCCCAGATGGTGCAGGTGGTGTCAATACTGGAGGTACCGATGCGCTTGGGCTCGGCCTCGTTCCAGTCGAAGGAGGTGAGGGGACCGCAGAAGTCGCTGTTGCGGTTGTTGTTGAGGAGGCTTTTGATCTCGACCCGGTCGTCGGAGATGCGCCAGACTCGGAGGAAGTCGCTGGAGGTGGCCAGGAGGTCGGGCTTTTGGCACTCCTTGTCGGGGATGAAGATTGCTTTGGTGGGAGGGTAGGGGTGTTCGAAGGTGAGGTTCGGGTCGGAGCGGATCTCCCCGTTGGAGTCGTCGAGTTGAACGATCTCGACCCGGTTGGGGTACTGCTCCAGCAGGCTGGCGATGGCGAGACGGTACTTCTTGTCCCGCCGGACGCTCCAGTTCATGGCGTATATGTGCCAGGGGGCCTCGTAAGTGTAGATCTCCGATCGTCTCTGCTGCTCGTCTGACCCATCCTGGTTCGGATCGCTACTCGCCCCCATATTTCTATCTTATTTACTTTACTCTATTCACAGTACTCTCTCTCTCTCTCTCTAATTTCCCCCCTTCTCCCTCTCTAACTGATAATCATGATATACTCCGTTTGTGTCAATCTCACCTTTTCCTCATTTTTTATTTTTGTTTCGTCTCCACAGACTATATGCCGAAGTGGAAAGCAGACTTTTGAGCACATACCAGGATCTTTCCAGACTTCTGTGTATACTTTACCTTTGTACCCTGACGTTTTAAACTTGGGAAAATTACTATTAAGTCTGATTTTTATTAGAAGACAAATAAGTTCTAAAAATATTTCATAGCATGGAGATTTATGTATATATATAATTTTATGGTCAAATTACATAAAGTACCCTTCAAGTTTTCATCTCGTGCATATTATACCTTTGTGGTTTCATTGACCTTACACGCATATCTCCATTTGTGAGCTGAGCGTAAAACCAGTTTGGGATAAATTATTTTTTGACAAAACTAATCTTCTTGTTGTGAGAAGATCAAATTGTCCAATCATGTCACCTGAAATTACGTTTTTTCCCCGTCAAAAGTACCCTTCTTCCATTTGGATCACTTGACCTACTTATTATCATTACCATAACCACTTGAATATCAATATCGCCATTGTCCCCCATCTCTCTTTCTCTTATTACTGAACATTGCTCCCTCTTTCTACTTCAATAACTTCTCTATCTAATTTATTCATCAAGGAGAAGAGTGCAATGACCCAAACCTAGGGGTCCGAATCATTACTTGGGTCCTTACCCGAACCCGAGGTCAACTAAGGGCTTTACAGTCAATTCTAAGGTCAATACACAAATAAGTCCTCATTAGAGGATGTGTGGTATATCATAGCATTATGAGGTAGCATGTGAATGGTCATGGAAGACAAAGAAGTAGGAATAAGGTGAATACAGGAACCGGTCAAAGTGTTTATGGCACACGTCAATTGGTTTGGCTAAATCAGTCGACGTGTACCAATTTCACATTGGCTGGTTTAGCTCACATTCCTCAAAATCCACACTGACTAGAAGTCAGTCGACGTGAAGTTGCAAGGCGTCGACCGGTTTGGGGGAAAATGGCATTTAAGGCCTGCAACTTCTGGTTTAAGCCCCCGAAACATATTTTAGTCCATTTATACATCAAACATGGTCCAACCCTGCTCTAAAACCATACATTTAACAATTGACCGGTCCTCTTTTACAAGGGTCGCGATACCAAGTCAAGCTTGAAAGTTGTGTGAGAATTTAGGAGGTGGCCAAGTTTTACATTTATAGAAAGCCACTACTACCTTTCTCTATATAAAATATAGATAGGGCGAGTAGGGATCGTCCCGAGGGATTTGATGGTGTATCGAATTGTGAAACTATGGTAATTAGGGTTAGTAGGTCGAATGATCACACAATTGTTGATTGATTGGTTGATTATACCAAATGAGCTAAACTATAATAAAGCAATGCAATAAGATAAAGAGTAAATAAGAAGGAAAGGTCTTGGGGTGTAGAGATCACCACCAAACAAGACTATTCCAAACCATAATCAAGTGACTAATGAGGGAAATGAATGTGTTGCAACAATGTTGTATGTGTAAAAGACATTCAATTGGTAAGGGTGACTCAACAAGTGCAAATTGTCTCAATCAACATGTGTGAGGGCACAATACATCTATTGGTAGAGGAATATATTGTCTAAACATCATGTGAAGATAACAAAATAACAATTCAAGTCATTGAACTTTTCATTAAGCTCATAGTCCAAGCAATCCATAAGGATGACTTAGTTAAACATGCATTATCTAAACATCATGTGAGAGGTACAAAATATCTATTGGGAGAGGAATAAATTGTCTAAACACATGTGAAAGATACAACATATCATAACTAGTCATTAATCCTTTATTAAGCTCAAAATTCCATTACACCACAATATTAGAGCATATGCTTCTTGCATTCAAAAGCATGGAACATCATAGAACAAGCATGAATTGTTTCCCCAACTAACACTACACTACTTAAAAGAGAAGCACAATCCATCAAGGAATAAGTATGAACCATCTAGAGACATAACAAGAGCATTACATTAAGAATTTCATATTTTGGCAATCTCAAGATTAAAGGCATTAATACACATAGACATGCATCAATAACATTAAATCTAGAGATGAGCATCTACTCTAGCATACATAGACATATAGATAGAGAAAATGATCAATTAGAAGCATTAATCCATAGAACTCAATGAATAATCAAGATCTTCATAAGTTCAAGAATCAAAATATGCATTACAACACAAATCCCTCAAAATTACACAAGATTAGAGTATAGAAAGCATGCTTGGGGCTAACTCTAGCCCCAAGAAGATGTCTAGCCACTCATGGTAGTGATGATCCAACCCTCAAGGGCTAACTCCATGGCTGCTCCTTGTTGGTGAAGATCTCCTCCAATGGTTGCTCTAGCTTCCTCCCTTCTTCCTCTCCAAGAATAGCCTCCAAGATGATTTTCAATGTATGACAAGAGACTCTAGAACCTCCTCCAAAAAGTGTATCATATTCCTTATATAGGTAGGTCAAATACACCCTATGATGAGTTGTGGTCGTGCAAAGCATATTCTCCAATGATTGGGTGAAGGACGGAATAAATGAGCTGGACTTTAACTTTTCTCGCTGGAGGAAGTTCGATCGATCGAACCTTAACTTGGATCGATCGAAGATGGGTTCGATCGATCGAACTGCATCTTGGATCGATCGAAGTGGTCTGACTCCTCCGGATAAGGACAAGGCTGGGATATTTCGAAGATATTTATGGGGAAAAGGACAAAAGTGGTTGGTAGGCGTACAGCTGTGGATAAGATCAATCATTTGAATAGGACAAAATAGGGTTCGATCGATCGAAGGTGATGTTGGATCGATCGAACTTGGAATTTCAGCAAAGGCCAAGGTTGGATCTATCGAGAAGTACTGTGATCGATCATAGATGTTCGATCGATCGAACTCTAAGTTGGATCGATCGAACTTTTCAGCTGCACAACTTTGATTCCTTTTTGCTCCTTTCTTTCTCCACTTTACTCCCTCCTTTGGTTTATCTCAGAATTGCTTCAATTAAGCTCTTATTTGGCTGAGTTAGCTCAATTTTGGGATTAGTGCCTGAAAATATAAATAACACGTAATAAGTCTAAAGCGGCAAAGTAAGATAGATAAAGGTACTAGAATGCTTAAGCTTAACGGGTTTAAATGCGCACTTTTCAGTGCTCATCACACCCCCAAACTTAAATATTGCTAGTCCCTAGCAATGAACTAAGAAGTAAATGAATGAAATGAACAACTAAACAAGTATAAACTGGAAAGCAAGTGAAATGATAACACCATTTTCGTAGGGAACACGATTGCATTTAGCATATGCAACAAGCCTTTTAAACCCCTAGGTTACCCCTAGTGGACGAGTAAAGTCTCGTGAGGGTTTCCAGAAATGGTACCCACAAACATTAAGCTCATTCTTTCAAAAGAGGCACCAGTATTGCAAACAAGCATTGGGAGAAAACTACCTCAAGTATGCAATTTTTCAACCGTTTCTAAGCAATCTCCCAAAATTTCAATATCAAGCAAGCAAATATGGTCCTCCACACATCAAGAAAATAATCATGAAAATCGAAACAAGTCTAGAATCCATGTGAGAGGTCCGGCATCAAGTGTGTTGCTATCTTAGCCAACTAGAGAAGTAATCACATCCTTACCCTCAAACTAGCACACAAATCTAGTCCCAATCATCAAGACAAAAAGAGTGGACCTTTTATTAAAGCTTTATTGTTCTAGGTGCGCTTATTCTTTTCACTCTATTTTTTTTCTTTTCTTTTTTATTTATTTATTGAGGATCAAAGATGGAAGTATTGTGCAATGTGTTGATCTCTTAAGCTTTCTAGAAGATTCATGTAGCGAGCTTTAGGTCAATGACTCCCAAACCAGATGGCTTTAGGGCATTAGGTGTTAAGACACCCCTACGGACTTACAAACTCAAATTAACTAGGCTACAAATCAAGACAACAACCATCTAATCATTTCCTACTTCTCACCTTTTGGGAGAAGTCCTCACTTTTATTGCTTTTTGCAACTTTTTTTATTATTATTATAATAATCAATTATTAACCTAGAGTTTGGGCCCTCCACCTTTCGGCGCGAGAAGTTCACTGCTTAATGAGGCAAGAATCCCGGCTACTCAATGAAAAGGGGTTGTTATCCACCTTTATCAAGAATGAAAGCTTTCAATGCACTACTAGCCCAATTGGGATATAACCAATTCAATAATCAACAAAGCATGTACCCCACAAATGAATGCTAGTGTGCACCGGTGCTAGTGTAGAATCCTAGAATGAATCTCAAAACAATCACAAATTCAGGATGATGTGGACCACAAATGCAAGCAAGATATCAATCTTTTGAAAAATTTACTCCTAAATGGCATCCTCAAGGCATACAAGGAGTATTGGACTCTCAAGTCAAGTAATTTTTAAATTTTAAGCAATATAGTCCTCAAAAGATCAAAATCATAGCTAGAAATAGACTAAGTATAGAAATATCCCTCAAATACACAAGACATGCTCAAAATTTGAATTTTAAAGTAACACTGAAACATACACCAATACCCCCAAACTTAAACTGCACATTGTCCTCAATGTGTGAAGAGAACAAAGGAAAGAGTATACCAGTGCTTTAGACATGAATGATCGGGATAGAAGTATCCAAAGTGGGTGGCATGGCCCCCCCAAACTTGGGATAAACTGTGGTCTTGAAAAGTTTACACTCGGATAAACTCATTAGATAACAAGATAGGATAATCAGTGCACAGTGGACATGCAAGTGTAAAATGGGATAAATAGAGAATAGAGAGAGAGGTGTAAGAGTGGTCCTGAAAAATTGGGCAGCACTCTCTCACTGAAGTCACTGTGGTGTACCTGATGGAGTCAAACATACAAATATGAGATATTAAGAGACATCCATAATCAAAAAGCAATATATAGAGAATATAAAGTGCAGGTACATCAATAAAATAATAAAGCCGACAAACCTGCCGCAAAGGATAATAGAGTAACAGTGACAGAATAATACAGATCCAGAATAAAAGAAATGAAAGCATAGAACAACTGGAAGTGGAGTCTCAGGAGGCCTGATCGTGAAGATCTGCAGTGGCTGGAGGTGCAGGTGCGGGTGCAGGTGCAG